TCGGCTGCAAAAATAGGTTTGTGCAAGACAAAGCTGTTTATTTCAGCTGGAGTCTTGTCATTATTCTAACTCAGCAGAGGATTGTCTTTTGCAGGGGTCTTTTTGTCTCCTGTTCGCTACTTCCTGTGTGCTACAGACTATAAATACAAGCACACAAGTACCTGCTGCAGCTGTGTTGCTGTGAGAACAGAAGTTTACGCCTTTAGACACTTTTTTGTGTTTTGGTGCTACGTCTCCATCAAACCAGATGAAGCAAACTCCCTGAGAATTCCTCCTGGTCACGCCTCAGCAGAAACTCCACACTGCCAGGCTCTGCTGCTCCGTCTGTGGCTCCGAGGACCCACATGCTCTGTCCCCTCAGGGTCTCCATCCAGAGCCAGACACCTGACCAAACCTCGACCCCCAGCCTCAACCTGATCCAGAAACATCAAAGACCTTCCAGCAGCGACAGCATTTGTTCGGTTTCACTTATCCAACATTTGTCTCTGATGCCTCAGAAATTATTTATGCCTCATTTGCCAAGTGAATGCATTTTACCTGATCAATAAACAATGAAGCTCAAAATGCATCCATAAGATCCCTTAAAATTTAAAAAGCAAAATGGGATACATTTTGAGTAATGCAATTATCTTTATTTAGGCTCTTTAAACTTTTATAAAGTGCCATAACATCCTCGTTAAAGCTTCCAGTTGAAGTGTTTTTTGCTGCCTCAGTAGAATGTGGACATTTATTTACATATTTCTGTAACAGTCCAGTCCTTAAAACGCGAAAAAGCATAAAAATACTTTATTCCCTCAGATTCCAGCTCATCCAATATTAAACTCTTGAGCAGAACCAGCCGAGAACTGGGCAGCAGAGTCTTCAGAACCTCTCATCTCTTTGGTGTCAGTGTTGGACTCGGTAAACAGATGTGGCAGCTCGGTTTCTGTCGAGCTCTGTGAAATAGTTTTGCTTTTGCAGCGGTCGGGTCCTCTGCAGAACTCTCTCAACGTTCACTGAAGACGATTATTTAATATCGCCACACGCCCTCATTAGCAGTGTGTTTGCAACGAAAACTCTGCGCGATCATTTATTCAGTCGCCAGGCCACTGCTTTGATCATGCAGTTTAATTCATCATCCACGTGTTAATTCAAACTTTTGCCTTGCTGTCCCAGATGCTCACCCAACCCCTGCTGAAATGACACTGCAGCTGAACTCTGACCTGAACTAAATATTATTATACTTGCACAATCAGCCGCACATTAATGTCCAATCAGAAAAGCCTAACAAAGGAAGAAAAAGTGTGATGATTGTTGACCCGTGCAATAAGTGCATCTATGAACTTTTGTATTGTATATTTTTATTATAGTGACCCTATTGATAAAAACACTGTGCTTAAATTTATGTAAGTTCCCAACTTTGTTCCCCCTGCTCCGAGTAACGAAAGTGTTTTTAAAATAAATACATCTTTTTAGGTGTGAGACAAACTTTCCCTGAAAAGAAGCATAAAAAAGACTTACAATTTTCATATTACCTGCTTTCTACAAATATTTTACATGATCTATTAGCACTCAAAGTATGTGCCACGAATGAGTCTCAGCTATCATGACGCCGAATTTTACCTCAATATCTGTAAAATTGACTGAGCTGTAGCCTTTTATGTGTTTGATGAGGTCAGTTAGCTGTGGCAGCCATCTTGAATCAGATTGACTCCAAAAGTTAATCAGCTGTAGAGGCACTTCCACTGATTACTGTTTAAGAGTTTAATTAAAATCCATTTCATGTTTCATGAAATATTTTGCTAACAGTCATTAGCATTGACTTCAACAGTTAATGAAAAAGTTTTAAACAAAGATCTTGTGCAATTTGTTAGTGCTCAAAGTATGTGTTGAGAATCAGTCACAGCTGCTACCACACCAAGCTTTAGCTTGATATTTATAAAAGTGACTGAGTTAAAGCCGTTTTGTGTTTGCTAAAGTCGATAAGCTGTGGAGGCCATCTTGAATCAGGTTGAATGTGTAAATGAATCGGTTTGATATAAACTTGTAGTGGTTACTTCCTGAGAGTTTCAACAAAATCCATCAAGTGGTTCATGTGAAGTTTTGCTAACAGAAAAACACAAATAAGTAATTACGTGCTTTCTGCGGTTAAAAGTTAATGAGTAAAACTAATTGTAACACAATTATAAGCTTTAATCACAGCAAAGCACATTTCAGCAGGAAATCCTTTTTCTTTGCATCAAACTCCACATTCAGGATTTCTCTCTTATTTTTTTTCACCAACTCTGAAGGTTTTCTCACTGAGCAGAAAATGGGATGCCAAATGCAAACCTCCCCTGATTATTTAACGAGCCACTTCAAAGGGGATCCGTTTTAATCCTGCATTATTGATATGGGAATAAAACCAGTGAGTAAATGTCATTATAGCTCCAAAGGAAGTCCCACAGACAAATCTGGACACGCAGAACCTGAGCGGGGGTGAAAACGTGCTTCCAGAGCGGGAGCTTTTTGTGTAACATGAGAAGATAGATTGCAGGTTGAGTAGAAGTAATACACAGCCCAGCAGATGTGCTACAGCACAAACAAAAAAATAGAAGAGGCAAACTTGCATGAGCAAAATGCAGATCAAACATCAGGGTTAATATTTGAATTTATGCAACCAGCTGTATATTAACATGTTTATGCAAAATTTACCCCCGCCCATCTGCATGCACCTTTGCCTCACCGATACATGCAGTGCAGCACATTAGAGAATATAGGGTTGTTTTAAGCTGCAGCAGCAAGCCCCCACCCCTCCACCCCCACCTAGGTTGTGTTATTTTACACATCACACATCCAGCAGGCAAGTAAGAAAAACACACACACACACACACACACCTAACCTTTTCTTATGAAGTGTTCATAAATGTCACCGCTGTCACATTTACTCACACATGGACCTATAAGTACATAAAAACATGAGAGCTTGCGTCCTTGTTGGTGTGTGTGTGTAGCACATGACCCCGCCCCCTGCCACTAAGGCTCAACAACATATTTTTGGCACAAATGGAACTCCATACAGATGGTTGTTCTTGTCAGACGACGTCTGTGGTCAGCTCTCTGTCGTGTTCCTCGTGTTTGGTCCGTTGCCTCAGGTCAGTGGTGAGACGGCCGCACGTTTTGGGAAACGGTGAATGAAAAACACTAGAGAGGAAAAAGAGTTATGTAAGAATCACCCAAGCATTTGTGACGTTACACTTTGTGAGCCTGCCATGAGCGCTTCATAAATACTCACATTTTGCACCTCGATGACCCCGGTGGAAGGCCGCTGACCTTTAAAAGGACTGAATAAATAATATAGACGTATCTTTTGTTTCCCTGAATATGCTTGGTCTTTTAGTTACACTGCTCATTCCTTCACCTCCCCTCGAGTTCCAGTGCAGTGACAGGATGTGTGTTTGACATGTTTATGGCATGGGACTTATGCTTCCTGCCATTGTGGCGAGATCAGACAACCAGCACACTTACAATATCAGAATGTGTCAGGACCAGTTTTTCATTTTCTCTTCACCTCAGCAGATGTTAAATGGAGAGATATCATGTGAAGTTTACTGTTTTTAGCTGTTAAATGCATTTTGTTGCATACTAGTGCAGAAAATTAAAATTTAGTCTCTCTCTGTGCTGGGTAGATATCTTTATTTTCTCTTTCTTTTAGATTTTCTACCAGTTCAATTTTCTCATTTCTCTTATGGAGGACTGAAACTGACATAATTATAAAAGCAAAAATACATAAATGGACCAATAAATAAATACACCTTAAATGCACCAATTAATTTAAAAAAAGGAGAACTTTACGTCATGTTTTATGATTTAATTGACCTTTGTATTTATTTTTTCAGCTTAGCTCCAACAAATTATAACATTTTTCTGCTTTTAAATACACACACACACACACACACACACACACACACACACACACAC